GAAACCTACTGAGGGCCATAACTGCCTTAACTTTATTTTTCCGTGTTCACTAAGAAATACATACAGCCACACGCTGTATCATGTCGTTTTGTCAATGATAGAACACATACACAATGATGTTCCCATAAGATTAAAACAGCAATACCATATAACCCAGGTGGGCAGCAGGCTATACCATCTAGGTTTGTGTAAATACACTCCATGATGTTTGCACAATGACAAAATGGCCTAGTGACACTTTTCACATCCCCACTGTCTTTAAGTGACACATGACAAATCTATTTCTGTTTTTTCCCTTTAAGCTGTTTTCTGTTTAATTAGGATTGAAAGTAGCTTACATCTAAAATCACACTCACGGGTGAAAATGTGGAAAAAAGATCTGTGATTAATTTTTGAGACAAAAAGATTTGATTACAGACGCACAAGAGAATAAACTACTCAACATTGGCTAATTTTATTCTCAGAAATTTCCTAAAATAATATCAACTAGTACTTACTTTAGAGCAACATGACATGCACACATGTACAACTTTCAGCATTTTATGTCTGTATGGTCCACTTGAAAAATCAGAGCTAAAATTATTTGAAACACTAGAGTTAAAATGGGTAGTGATTACCCCCTTTATGACATTAACTAAGATGTCACTTATTTTTACATTCAGAAATTCATTCCAGGTCTCTTTTAATTGTTTTAACTTAAAAAAAAATCAAATCATAACAATTTTTTCTCTCCACTTTTTAAAACTGCCTTTGGCCAAATACAACAAATTTCTTAATCTGAACATGTACTATATAAAGAATTTATGTATTTTTTCATAAATACCAGATGCCTTTTGAAAATATAATAGGTTTTGGTTCATTTTTAAACACTTCAAGGGGGAGGACTCTTAATAATGTTGCTTGTTATTTCTGTAAACTGTTTAAAATGAATTCAATCAAGTAATTAAATAAAAAAAGCTTCTTCCCTTTCCTGTAAAGGATGTTGAATTTTGTACAATTATGTGAGCTGCTGCATCCTTATCAGGGCAAAGTTAATTATCCTACAACAGGAAGTCTTAAGAAATGTCCATGTATTTAGTTTGCAGTCCTCCATTTCTTGTATTTATTGCGCTTTCGTTGTCTTTTAGAAGAGCATTTCTCCCGGGGTGATTTCTTTGTACAGTGTAGTTCATCCCAAAGTCCGTCCAAGTCAAGAGATTTTCCTGGAAGCAGAGAGGTAGATATCTATATAGTTTAAAGAGATGGATGGGAAAATGAATAATTAGGATTATTGGGGTTGCCATAAAACTTCTGAAATATTAGTGCTCAAAGAGAAGGCAAACTCAGTTATAAATTAGGAATTTCATCCAAATGCCAAAGGCATTTGTGGAGAGAGGTGAAAGGCAACCTTGTCACTAAATAATAGTCACCCATCCTCTGAACCAAATAAGCCCTCATCATTTGGTCAGTTTCCTATAATTGCCACAAAGGACTGTCTCCTCTTAAGCCTGAGCTCTGCAGTTCCACAATTGGCTTCTATCCTGAACTCTATTTAGAGATCATAGGCTTACTTGGGTCTTTGGAGTAGTTTGCTTTCAACTTCCATGACTTCAATAGAAGTTTAACTCTTTAGTATTAGACATCTTTAAGCAAAAACTTTTCCCTACATTTCAAATTTGAAATTAGGGTAGTTTCTAAGTGGCATAAACATAAGCAGTAAATAGCAGGAAACTGGGAAGAGGTTTATTTTGGGCTGCTATTAAAGAATACCATAAACTAGGTGGCTTCTTCATAAACAACAGAAATTTATTTCTTACAGTTCTGGAGGCTGAGAAGTCTGAGATCAAGGTGCTGGCAGATTTGGTTTCTGGTGAGGGCTCACTTCCTGATTCACAGATGACTGTTTTTTGGCTAATTCCTCATGTGATGGAATGCACAACTCCCCAGAGAGCTCTCTCACCTATTCCACCTTCATTACCTAATTATCTCTCAAAGGCCCCATCCCCAAATACCATCATGTTGGGAGTTATGATTTCAACACATAAATTTGGAAGAGACACAAACTTTCAGTACGTAGCACATATGAAAGGGTGCAGGTGGCCTTAGAGAAAATAAAACAGGACACAGAATTTTCAGCATTTTGAGAGTCTATAAATCTATGGCTGACACTTGGCTTAATACATGCTCATTTAATGAGTGAATGAGCATCTTATAGAACATTTAGACAAAATAGGTTATCATTATTTCACAGATTTCCATTTTTTACTTAAGGATGCTGTTCATATATCAAAGTGACAATAAAGACCAACATTCTCCACCTGGCTTTTTTGGAGTGCTTTTCTGCCCCGAAAAAATTAAAGCTGGTGTTTATAGCATAGCCACTGATGCAGATATGTTTTAGGTGAATGCCTTCACAAAGTGAGAGAGGAGAATTTCATAGGTACCAAGAGCATCCAGGGAGTATGTAGCAACATTGAATATTTCTTGCCAAAAATAGACAAATTTTGCTTGTGCTAAGATGCAAAGACTGTCACCACCCAATCCAACACGTCATCATCATAGTACGAAGAATCAAACTTTCAGTCTGGAACAGAAAAAAACAGAAATACTTTCAATGCTGTACCACACCTGGTGGTATATGCAGATATACAAACTCACTTTTAATGAATGTGAACTTCTAGGCACAGATTGGAATGTTTGTAACCAAATTATTAAGGCTCCATTGCAGAGATCTGTGATTTAGCTTCTTTGGAATGCTTGGACAAAAGTGGTCCTGCAGAATCAGCTTCCATTTAGTCATTTGTTCCCAGCCTCTGTTCTTAGGAAGCTCAAGTGTCTTTCTGCCCCCACTCCTCCACTCCCTGGTACATCTTCTCTTATTATCCAAGTCATATAATGGCATGACCTGCAAGTCTGCAATTCTTAAACATTTCTTCAAAAATAACTCAGAAGCCATAAATAGGGTGGAAATATTTGCCACATATTTAACCAACAAAGTTTCCTGAATACATAAAGCATTCCTACAATCAGTAGGAAGAAAACTGGAAAAAAAGAGACATTTCACTGAACAGGAAACAATAATGGCCAATACACTTGTGAAAATACAGTCAATCTCATTGTAAACCGGGAATTGCATGTTAAATCCACAATGAGACGTCACGCCCACCAGATTGGCAAAGATTTTTGCAGGGATGTGCAGCCATGGAAACTTCATTAGCTACTGGTGGGAGTGTAAATTGGTCTAACACTCTGGAAAACAATTTAAAGCAGAGTTTAACTATATCATCCCCTATGACCTATTGACTCTACTGGCTATATACCTCAGAAAACTCTTGCACACATGCACCAAGGGATTCACACAACATTCAGAGCAGCCTGGTTCATGCAGAAAAAATCTTGTAATGCACAAATTGTTTCTTTTGCTGACCTGCTGGATGTATAAAAAGCATTGAGCCCATGGTTTTTTGCTTCTCTGACCTAATTGACATCTTGCATAACACTGGCTGCTGAGACTAGTCATCTTCTAGCACACCTCTGGGAGACACTAGGGAAGGTCATGGGAAATCACAGCCATGTCCACCCCCTTACATCCTTAGATCATTTACATCCTTTGCACTACTTCCTTTTACTACTTTGGGAATAAATTGAAGTACAAATAATCTTGAATCTCACCCATCCTTGAACCCGGACTAGACCCTATAATCTAGCTTTTCTCACTTGCTTCCTTCATGTAAAGAACTTAAAAATGGTAGCCATCATTTTTTCACCTGAAGTTGCAGGGTTTTATTCCTTTCTGTCTCTGTATTCTGACAGAGCACTATTCCAATCTGCCTTATAATGCATTCATTTGAGTATAAATTTGGGGTCCTTTACCAAATTGTAATTTCTTTTAGGGAAGGTCCTACTGTTACTAAATGTATCCCCAAAGGGTATGCCTTGCTTATAGTTGCAAAGTATATGCCTGATCCATTAAAACTTCTAATTTAAGAAGCATCTTGGCCTAGTAGAATGGCTACTCACATGCTGATGTACTTGGGCAGATTGTTTAAGCCTCTCTAAGCAACATCAAATGAAAATCGCAATACTTTTACATCCCAGAGATGTCATGAATACTAAATGAAATAGCACGAGAAAGTGCCTAACGCAAAAAATGCCCCTTTAAAAATGTTAATGTACTTTCTTCCTGCCCTTTTTCAGCGTTCCTAAAGGAGGTCAAGTAACACCACTTTCCCCCCTTTCTGTAAAAGGAAATTAGAACTTCATCAGATGGTGTCCTGAATTGAAAGAAGCTGCTTCCTGGACGTTTCCACCAAGGACGTAAAGGAAAGAAGTTAGATCATACTAGAAATCAGAATGCAGTAGTAGCAGAAATGCACAGAAAAAGGAGCTACCTCAGGCTTGGGAATCCACAGGACAACCAGAGACCTTCTAGACCTGTTAGAAATGTGTGTGTGATCAAGGCCCAGCGGTCCTTCTTGACCCTTCACTAACAGACGACTGCATTTCTCTAAATGGTTTCAGGCTTTGCGGGAATTTGGGGGCAGTCACCAACATTAACATCACCGTTGAACCAGCAGTGATCTAATATGCACCAGGCACTGTGCTAGCAGCTGAGGACAAACGGGGGGGACACAACAGAGGTGCTTCGACAGAGGTGCGTACTGGAGCTCCGGGAGAAAGAGATGCTGCACCGTGGGGTGAGGGGGAGAAGGCTTCCCAGGAGGAAAAGGCACGTCCCAAGCAGACGCAAGAAACTAGCGAACGTCGCCACTACCGAGCTTAAAAATCCGGATCCCGGACTCTTCGGATGGCCTGGTTTGCCATCCCCTTCCTACTCCCACCCATATCCTTCCGAGGTGGGAATGGACGTGCAATTCCAGTCTCCTTATGCCAGAGCGAAAACGCGTGATATCCTGAGTCAGAAACTCAGGCCAGGGGACGCGGGTCCCGCGGTGGGGTGGGGTGGGGGCGGGCCAAGGGTCCGGGTGACGCGCGGGAGGCCGGGGGCGGTGAGCGGCGAGATGACGCCTCAGCCCACGTGTGCGCAAGATTTAAAAGTTGGCGGCGCGCGGGGCGGTCATTTCGGTGGTCCCGCCCTGCCAGCGGCGCTAGGACGCGGGGGCACGGCCAGGGCACCGGCTCA